ATCACCGCCTAAAAATGTGCGATATGTAAACTGCGGACTCGTAACTGCAGCTCGCGTCTTTTATAAAAAAAAAGACAGAGTCGGGCAGCAGCTATATGTGGCCGTTAGACGCGCGCTTAGCTATCTATATATACGACGCGATAGCATCCACATTTGTGGCTATATAGTAGTAGTAGTATGTACAACGCTACATATATGCGTCTCGTCTCGAGCGAGCCAAACTTTGCAGCAGCAAAGGTAGACGGCTGATCCCGCTGCAGTAAAAGTAGTATATGTGTGTGTGTGTGTGTGTACGTAAAACCGCCTAGAGTATCTTGACCATAGGCTGTAGCTGTATATATAGCTATATAGCTGCTGCATGTGCATCGCGAGCCGAGCAGAGTCTCTCTCTCTCTCGCACTGTGTGCCTACCGTCGTTGCGGTCTTGCTCGATCTTCGTTATATACTCGCGCCCACGCGCCTATCATGCCCACGTACTACGGGCTAGCATGCATATATCTATATGTATTGCACACAGACACACACGTACTACTATATACACGATGTTGTTCGCACAGATGCTATCCGCACGCTCGTACTCCACTACTATATATGTGGGTATATATAAGCACACAGACACTGGAAGAGAGAGAGAGAAAGAGAAAAGGAACGATTTAGCCGCAGGAGCACGCGAGGACAAATTCAAGTGTGCTTATCGGCCGCCGCCGTCGTTCCGAGTGCACTTCCGCGTGCGCCAGCCTAGCCACTGCTGCCGCTACTGCTGCTACCTCCCTTCTGCCCATATACGTATACGGTCGATCCAATCCTCGTTTGTGCACTGCTCATCGTTTCTCTCTTTCTTCTGTTTGTATGTGTGTGTGTGTGTGTGTGTGTTTTTTTCCCTACTCCACCCCTTTCGGACACTCACCGGTACCGCCGCTAAGCATTGCTTCGGTGAAGCCGCGGATTAGGGGTTCAGGGACTCATCTTTCTTCTTGGTGAACCTCCGTACCCTGCGCGGTGAATACTCACGACGTTATATGCGTGTGTAATTTTCAAGTTCTATCGCTAAGTATGTTACTTTTAAATCCATAAGTGAAAAGCTTGAATTCATGAGATATCAAAGAATTTTTGTTTTAGCTGTTAATAATTATTTTTTGATTTATTATATGGTTATACACGTATATGAATAAATAATATGCTGCCTATATGCATGCACGTCGTCGTCGCATCGAGCGCTGTTGCTACCTATATGCATACCGGTAGCAGCTTCTTCCACGATCGCTTTGTCCCTCCGCTCTTCTGTCTCTCTCACACACACACACACATACACACTGGAGGCTGCTTTTCTCTATGCATACATATACCACATATAGAAGATGTGCGAAGGCGCAAACAAGCCTTTATCTAATCATCGCTACGCGTAAACAGCGAAATACGTGTGCTTGGACAAAGAGAGGAGCTTGGGCTCGTGCTGCGGTTCGCTACAGCAGCAGCAGCAGCTTAAAGCCATCGTCCTCGTCGTCGTCCGCGTTCAGCGTATCGTAGTAAACTCTCTCTCTCTCTAAGCGTGCATATATATACGCGAGAACTCGGGACGGAGTCGGGAGGGATAATAGACCAGAGCAGCGCAGTGCGGTCGAGCCCTGAGATGCGAATCTTATGTGTATACTACCTACGACCGCGACAAAGTCGCGCGCTCCCGCGCACACACACACAACCTAGCTCTCCTTTATTTTTTCTTTTGATCTCTCCTTCCTTCGTTCTTTCTTTCTTTCTTTCCTAGTCGTCTATTATATAGCACAGTTGCGCTAAAAGCTCTGCCGTGTGCAAGTATAGTCAAGGCCTCAAGGAATATTAGAGTCGCTGCCAGCTACAGCAACTGCAGTGCGCAGCTTTAACGCGCGATGAGCAGCTTCGGTACTTGTCTATATACACATTCCGCAGCGTCGCGCTCGAAAGGACTCGACGAGCTGAGAGATCCTGCGGTGTGTGTGTGTACAGCCTATAGCTCGAGACTCCGTCTCGCTCATGCCCTTTTCTTCTGTATATTCATACCTATATCTATACAGACGGGCGTCCGTCTCTCTCTTTTTCTCGGCAGTCTACACGTTATATTGCTGCTTTTACGCCTAGCTAAATAACTTTCCACTCTCGATACTGCCGCAACAGCTCCCTGCCTTCGTCGAGTTTCTCTCTTTACTCGCTGGTTCTTTACGTCCGTTGCAGCTTGGAAAAGGTTCTTCAAACCCCGGGCGCGAGTGCGATAACTACCGACGATGTAGTTTTGCTGCAGTCGTATCGCTGCCGCGGCTCGCGTAGCTTCGTCTCTAAACCATATCGTATAAACTACAGCAATGCTATATATTAATTTTCTAGCCGCGATGGAATCCGCGAGTATCGCATACTTTTTCAGCTCTTTTCCGCATTTCGACCTGCGCGTTGCACATACCGGCTGCAGCGGTGAAGGGATCGCAGCCGAAGCTCCATATGTCTTAAGAAAACTTTTCCTTTTTTTTCTACGCGCTCGATGCTCGTCGTTCCTTCTAATTCTTCGTATCTCAGTGCAGAAATATTATACTTGTATCACACGTACGCCGGTGCTCCAGAATGACGCGATGATCCACACAAATCGTTGCTGCGTCGTCGTCGTCGTCGTTCGCACACTGCGCGTGAACGCAAAAACGAGCGATATATCTTCGTGTAATACTTAATTCGCGCGCTCACATATAACAGGACGTTTTATTTCGAGATCGGTGCAGTTGACACGGTGTATACAAATACAGCACGTACACACAAGGTATAAAAGCGAAGCGACAATTTACAGCAACCCCTGAGTCGTAAGTACGACGAGTGTATGCGTCTCTATTTACAGAGGCGGAGAAAGAAAGAGAGAGAGAGATAGATGAAATAGCCTTCGTGTGCCCGTGGCGCATATCTCTCTCTCTCTCTCTTTCTCTTGGTATACCCAGCAACACATAGGATATAGGTAGGCTCGATCCTGGCGCGATTACCGCTAGATATGGCTCGCTCGGGAGTCGACGAGGCGCAGAGGTATATAATAAAGGTATATACCTCGAGTACACACACACACTTATACACGAAGACGAAGAGAGAGAGAGAGAGAGAGAGAGAGATGGAAAGTCAGCGGGAAGCCTATCCTATTCTCGCGACGATCTGTGCGTTGCAAGAGCTGCGTGATGCGCTTTTTGAACGAATGAGCCAATGCGTGCGCGCGCGAGTGCGTTCGCCAGCTTTTTGTCATTCGATATTATACGAGCGATCTCTCCTTATAGCAACGAAAACTTATATCAAGCTGTGTTTACTCTTTTGGCAGTTTTCTCTTACTCCTTAGACACTCGCGTGCGCCCGCGCGAGCGAGCTGTCGCGATATCCTTTTGCAATTTTATTGGGCATTTTGTACCCCATTATATGCGCGGTTCGCATTGCGATTAACGATTAATACGTGCGTTACGTCCCGCGTTGATTCGAGGTAACACGATCGTATTGCGTCGAAACGCGTGTATATATACGCGTAAATTGGTGACGATAGCCGTTATTTTTCGAGTCTTTTACGACCGCTCGGTCAACTGAATCGAATGATTTTATATTTATATCATTTGGTAAAAAAAAAAAATAATAAATAAATGTACGAAATGAATGTTAATTTTTAAACAACGTTTCCGATATAAATCAAAAATATTTACGAAGAGCTCTTAAGGCTCATTAATCCAATAGTTACGAATTGTTCTAATTTGCATGGACGATGCAAGGCGCTGCAGGGAGTACCAAAATATCCGAACGAGCTAAAAATAAAATAGCGAGAAAAAGTAATAGGCCCTAAAAACGGCTCAAATCTCGCCCGATAACTAATGACCAAGATGCGAACAAGCATCTTGCTCGCGCACCACCACGCATTATATGAGCCGGAGCGAGCACCTTGTAATTTATCGCGCATTAGGCGCGTAGTTACAAGAGCTCGAAAGAACAAAACGAACAAATAGAGGAGAATCAATAAAAAGCTCCGAGGAGATCCTCTTTGATCGAGACGAATATAAACGTATACCTCTTTGCGAGAATTATTTCCCTTTTGGGTCCTAATAACCATTCTAAAAAAAGAGCCGGAGGCCAATATACACGTCCGTGTGCCATGTAATACACGCAGAAGAGAGGATATAACGTCTCTGACACAGTTTCGCGCAATCGTCGATCGATCGAGCGAGAGACCAAAAATATGATTACGCACCTTTTACTATGTATTCATCGTGCCGCTTGAAATAGCTGTTTCGGAACCGTGCACACGGCCCAAATGCCAATTTATGTATCGCGCGTCAAAATTTATTGAACTTTGATTTTATTCCACGCGCCTTTTCCTCGCTCGCGTGTCAAATGCACGCGCGCGCGCAAAAGTTTGCGTAATTTATTTCTCGAAAAACGAGGCGAGATTTACAATCTATGAGGAAACAATCGAGACGCGCGACGTTCAAATAATAATAATATACGAAAGAGATGAAATGAGCCTAGGCAGCAGCCCACCTTGTGAGATGAACGCGAGAATTGAGAAAATGCCTTTTTACGAGCAATATAACGTTCATAACGTTTTATGCTAATTATATATACGCACGCACGAGAGGAGAGGAGAATTACGATCGAAGTGTGTTTTCGGGGACGAGGATATTTTTTTTCAAATTTTGTTCATTCATAAGTTTATGATAAGAAGTTTAAACGCCATTTGAAGCAGGGCGAGTTTTTAATATTTTTATTCGCGACAATTACCGCGCGAGTGTAAGAAAACAGAACGAGATGCAGAAATGGCAAGCTCGTAAGCTTCGACTTTGCTGACTTCATCGCGAAGATACACATCGAGATAAACCTCTTATAACATCGATGTCGAAAAAATAATAATAAATGAAGAAATAAAATTAAATGGAGGAAGCTCGTAAAACGGAGACAAGAGACTAGTTGTCATAAAAGTATCGCGGCGTCATTGTACAGAACGCGCGTAATGTGTCGAGCGATTACTAATGAGGATCGTCGGCGTATCTAGACGAAGAATTTTTACTTTGGTCACCACAAGAATTAGGATTATGATGGTTTTGCCGGTACACTTGCCTCTATTAAGAGATTGTTTTTCAATACAATTAGATTTCTGTAGGACAACAACATCACCGTTATGAAATAAGTCAGGTATTGTCAATATTTACTTATTGAATATTGATTGCTATAATTGTTTGGTGTGCATGTCAGAGTGTCGAAAACAGTACGTATATTTATCCCACAAACATTATTTTGCCACTTGCGAATTTACGATTCGCCATCTGTTGACGGAATCAAAAAGCTCAACATGAAAAGTGTTACCTTTTGTTGCGATAAATCTTGAAAAATGAATCAACAATTCGATGATGGCTTCCAATCAGTTAATAGAGCCAATGAATTTCAAGGATCTTTTAACTGTGCTTCGGCAAACATACATATCGGAAGCAAGTCTACGCGACGCGCGCACACGCAATTTCCTACTTACAATAACGGCGATGAGTCGTAGTCGTAGCTGTTCCGATACTTTTGAGCTTACGCCCGGAACTTTCACGTACATCAGCACTGTACGCGTTTTTTGCGCATCGTTCGAAATGAGCAACAAAAACAATTGAAAGTTTCAACCTCGCTTCGCGAATCAGTGTGTACGTTCGCGAGGCGAAGGCGCACACGCGAGCAGCGGCGCTGTAGATATTCGACTTGTGGGTCGTACCTGCGCGCGTACATATCTTATGCATACGAGCTACGTATATAAGCCTAAATAGTCGATATGCTGTATGGACAGGATAAAATTAATTTTTGCTCGGTATATATCTGCGTTACAGAACCGACGTTGCATGCCTATTAATTTTCAAATCGCTGCATGCCGGTATGTACACACGCAAAAGACACGTGAGCGCGTAACGTATATATTTTACACGCAACACGTGCTCATACGCGAGTTCGCAAAGTAAATCAAAGCTAAATTAAATCCGAATAATATCGAAGCGCGAGTGTCTATCGCGAGCCGCGTGTAAATCCATCCGCGAGCGGGAGGGGGGCAGGAGGGAAAACTAACGGTCGATTCTCGCGAGCTCGGCAAGAAAAATTATACGTATTCGATAATACGAGCCGATATTCGTTGTGGCGTGCGGCGCCGCGCATCATCGATTCGTGCGTTATGTGTAGCGCAAAATAGATCGGTACAGAGATTTTGGTTTTTTACTTTCGAGCGCGTGAAAAAGCTCGAATTCCTCGTAGAATAATTAGAAATACATACTCGAGATCGAGCTGAAAAATTTCGGAACGAGCAGTGCACTTCCTTCCTATAACGCAGATATTATACTGTATGTAATAATAAAGAAACAAACGAGAATCCTGTTGATATTGCGACTGCGGCAATAACGTTGAGGCCTATTCTAATTTACCGCTCGAAAGCTCGACTGCGGGCGCAAAACCATAATACAGACAGAGAGAGAGAGAGAGAGCAAATTCTCATCTTCTTTGGCGTACAGCCATTACCTATCAATCACACAATGCAACATTCATTGTTCGGGGGCTCTCTTTGTGTGCATTATTGGTCAGAGCGAGGCAAGCTATATATACGTATATATATACGAGAGCACATCGTGTATTATAGATATGGCTCGCGCGGGCGAGAGTTCAATACTGTATCTGTGCTATACGACTGGGCTGTGGCGAGGAGGACGAGCTCGCGGCCGCGCCGCGAGGCGCAAAAGATGTAACGGTGCACAAGCTACTTCCTGATAGCGAATATCAATTTCGGAGCCTGAGCAGCTCTCTCTCTCTCTCTCAGGCAGGTATAACGATCGAACGTTTTATTATCATCGATATCCTCCCTAGAGCGCGAGCAGAACAATAATATCCTTGTGTATGAAAGAGCGAGCGGCGTCGGCGGCTGCGGCGATCGTTTAAAAGTCCAAGTGGTACGACACAATGACGACAAAAGAGAAGGATTATTTCATCCTTATGCCCGCGAGAGAACGAGAGGTACTTGCGGGATACGGAACGCGCGTTAACGCTCGCCAAAGTCCTCTCCCAGCGCTTATTTGCACCTTTGAGCTACTATATGTATACAAAGAATAAAGATATTACAATCGATCTGTAAGTGTGAGTCTATATACGGGTCGACCGACATTATTATATTTTCCCTACTTTTTCATGCTTTTGTTGTTCTTTCTCTCGAGGAATGATTTATCGGCTAATTTTGGCCTCGCAAAGTGGCAGCGCACAGGTATATTATCGGGCTATCGATTTTACAGCCGTTTTGCATACTAACAGATCTTAACCAGTTAACGGGGGTATATACTCTTTTTCTCTCTCTCGCCAAAGCGAGATCGAGTTAATTCGTGCGGAGGCTGTGTGTGTTGCGGACCTCGAGATTGCAAGAGAGCAAATCCATCTATACATCCATATACATATAAACGCGCTTCTCGATGTATGTTCAATTTGTATATAGCAGGTATATACTGTATAACGTAACAAAGAGAGGAACGAGCAGCGAAACAGCAACAACAGACGAGAGAGTCGGAGAAAAACTGCGCGAGAGAGGTAAACGTGCACCGCTGCTGCTGCTGCGCTACATGCTCTCACAATGCTCGTAAGTTTTTAAGCCCGTACGGTTCTCATGGGCTTCTCTCTCTCACAAAGTGTGCACGAGGCGGCGGCGGACGCTTTACATATTATTATATGCATGCAGCGGCAGCAGCAGAGCCGTTAAAGCGTGCTGATAAATTCGTTCGCTGCTCGCTGCCGAGCAGGTATGCGCCGCTCGCGATATATATGTGTATCTCACGCCCACGCCAGCAGCACAAGGTCACCGAATTAGCGAAAGTCGGACAACGTGTATATATAAACGGTATATATACATGAACACTTCTTGCGTATCCCCCGCCTCGCGAGTTCCAAACAGCTGAGCTGCAGCAACAGCAAAAACTAGTCCGGCGATGCCGTGTGTCTGTATATTTTGTGTGGTAAAGTCGAGATTTTCGCACGAAACACAGCTTCGAGTGCACCTGCCTTACATACATATTATACTGCTGCTTCTGTATAAGGAGGCGACCGGGCAAATTTCTGCCTTTTTTAAGCCTTTTCTGCGCGCGCAACAACAACAACAACGGTGACGCAATTTCTGCACACAGTGTGTATTCGACCACACCGTGAGATACTTCATATTTTATTATACACGCTGCTCCCGTGTGTTTGTGCTGCTGCTGTTGCTGCTGCGCATGCATAATGTATGTATGCCTTTTTTCGCGTTACTGCTGCTTTTCTTTTATTTTATTTTTTCATATTTTACAAAGGCCTCGTATCGCATATGTATACGTGTGTGCGAACTTGTATGTATCTGCCGCGCTCCAGTGAGGAGAGAATAGCTGTTTTCGTTGGCCAACCAAAAAAATTCCCTATACGAGTCTTGGCTGTACGTCTGCGAATGGTCTATAGAGGCTGCATCGGACTCGTGACCGATTTTAGCTTCCACACACGAGGCCTATACATAAATTGACGATCGGAACTCTTTCCTTTCGTCTGCTTTCCCATTCGTAGATGTATGTATATGTAGGGCCGCGCGCGCGAGCGAGCGCAGATTCGAGCTAACGATGTGCCTTTGTTTTTCAGCACCCTTTCATCCCGCGATTATCCGGCGATATATCCATTTCGAATGCTGCCGGTGCCGCTTGCGGACGATTCTTATCGACTCGCGCTGCCTAAAGGACGGCGTCGAAGCTTAATTGATTTATATATAACACATACACGAAATAGAACTATCATTGTCTTGTTGTTGGTCTCTATGATATACAAATATATATAGAGACATATACGTGTATATTATATGTGGAGCAAACGAAAGTTCACCTGACCGAGATACAAATGTCAACAACTCTTTCTCTCTCAAGATAAAGACAGCAAGGAAAAAGAAATTAAAGTTTTAGCGTGTGTACGAGAGAGCTTGCAAGCGCGTAGACATAAACGGAGAGGAAAAATAAGTCGAGAGGTGTCTCATGAGTTACGCACTACGATTCGATATATGTGGAGCAAACGAAAGTTCACCCGAACGAGATACAAATGTCAACGTGGATAGGTGGAAGTTTTATGTATCTCTTTTATACTCAGGTACGGAGCTCGAGACACGCTACATCCTCGAGGGCGCGCATTTATGAATCGGTTGTTATAACTGTGCTGACCGGATGGATCGTGACCCCGCCCGTCTTTATATTATACAGCGATAACATTGGGAGTAGTTTTGACTTTTGAATGAGAGAGAGCAGCTGGGACGTATTCATTTATATCGCAAAAAGCTCGTAGACACTCGTGCTTTATGTACAGAGATCCGTATCGATTCGTTGTTTATATATATCGTTTTTCGGAGCGCACATAATATGAATGCACGCGAGTTCGACCAATTTATGCACAATTTGCTCAACGTCGACGAATTTATATATATTATATGCAAGCGTGCACTCGCAAAAAAGGGAGAGAGAGAGAGAGCCATAAATACGGATTACCGCGCGAGCGCAAGAGTCAAGAGCGAAGAGAGCCCCGTGTGTGTAATACAGAGAGGAGATGCAAGAGAGCACGAAACTTTGAGGTTGATATCTTTCTCTCTCTCTATGGTGCGCGGAATATTGCTGCTGCACAGCCAAGTAGGCTTTTGCTTCGATGTATCTTCTCTTTTTCTTTTTTTTCCTGACTAGAGACTGGATGAATATGTATATGTATATTTATGTGTTAAGCCACGAGAGCGAGAGAGAGAAAGAGAGCGAGAACGATAGCGCATGCATGTATGTGTGTGTGTATGTACGTGCTGCATAACGGTAAATCGTGTATCATCATCGCAATGTGAATCCCTAGTACTCAAAGTTTTATCTTCGTGCGCGCATATATATATGCAGGCAACACACAGTCGCCACCGCCGATGCTGCTGCATATTATGTAGTATCGAGCGAGGGGTAGGCATACACGTATACAAGCGCATTGTTCCGCACTACGGCAACTGCGCACGTGTCGAGACACACGGACGCGTTAAGTTTCACGATCATATACACATACACGTATGCTACTCGACGAAAGATAAGTGTTCAGCTGAGCTTGGATCCATTTGGCCTACAAAAAGATTCCTATACCCGAGATCTATATTTGCCGGTATTTTTTAATGTGCTCGACTTGGTGCAAATATAGATACATCATCGGTCCTCGCGTATGATACTCCCGCACGTGGACACGCGCGAATATAATAAAATAAATAAAATATAATACGAAACGAGACAAATGGTCTCGCGACCAATAAAACTCGCGATCGGTATTGGCGATCTTTTTCGAGCTTTTTTGCCGCCGCGCTGGATCGCATCGCGTATACACGCGCGCAAGACTATATTACAATACTGGTTCTGCGCGCGCCATGTATCGGAGCTTTCGAATCCTACTGCGTGCTGCGAGGTACTGCAGGCCGTGTATTCCGTTGTGTGATGCCATTATAAAACATGTATAAAGCAGAGGAGAGCCAATGCGGTTTTATTCCATTTCGATGTACAGAAAGCGAGAGAGAGAGAGAGCAGAAAAGACAAAACGCACGGAGCGCGCGCGAGAGCCGAACCATCGTACGGCTCTTATCGTATGCTCGCGGTTCTCTTTAGTCGCGTATATATAGGTAGGTTGCACGATGCGATACACACACACACACACATACGTATAGAGACGAATACAAGCTCGATAGACGCGCGCGTATACGCACATGCGCGCACAATTTGAATCGGCGTTTATACACAGCTCTCGAACGCATATGCAGACATGGCAACACGTGCGCTCGTATATTTTTGCGCTCTCTCTCTCTCTTATAGTCGAGGGAGATCGGCCGCATTATTGCTATATATGCCCTCCCCCGTTCTTCCTCTCTTTCCTCTCGTACTACTGGTACAACTACTGCTGCTGCTGCTCTCGTCGGGATATACGCGCGCGCGCATGTATATAAGCTCTATCTGTATACGAGAGAGAAGCCGCGCGCGATCCGTTATGAAATTCCATTTAGGGAGCACATCGCATCGCATCGCATCGCATTGCAATATACCTACCAACATCGCGGCGAGAGAGCCGCATGAGGCGCGCGCATATTCAATGAGAGAGGCCTATACCTAGCACTGCTACAGCTGCTCTTATGCAGAAAGGGGCAGCAAGAACTCGACAGAGAGAGAGAGAGAAGAAGTACACAAGCACGCGCGCGAGACGGAGCGCAGTAGCCGTATTTCCGCATTCATCCCGAAAAATCATCATCCCGAAGAAGGGAGTGCATGCAGCGAGCGAGCGAGAGCGCGTGGGCGACTAGTTCCACTTGCTGCTCTTTCTCTCTCTCTGGCGCGCGCTCGTGTACCTTGTATACGTTGTTTTCTCTCTCTCTCTCTCACTTTTACGCTACTGCTGCTGCTGCTGCTTCTTGTCCCTGCACACGTATACTGGTAGTAGTGTGTATATCGTATTATATAGCAGGCCTTATAGGTATAATATATAGGAAACGAACGACTGGAGAAAGAGAAACCGACGAGGACTGGCACTTGCGATTGCTCGAGCGTGCGATGCTGCGTCGTTGTTGCTGTTTATCCTCTTGAGCGAGAATATAGCGTACGTATAGGTCGATCGCGCGCCAACTATTATAATAACGATTCATATGATGAAAAGAAAAAGCAAAAGCTCTTACCTCGTTGATCTCGCTGTCGAGGTCGCGGGCGCTCCTGGCGCTGCGCAGCTGGTCGCCGCGGTACTCGCGATAGCGCACGGTCACCTCGTCGTCGGTGAGGGCGCCCGTGCTCGCCGCCCGGCCGCTGCGCTTCAGCAGCAGACCGCCCACGCCGCCGCGCGTCTTGTCCTCCTTCACCTGCTTCTTCTCCTTCTTGCGGAAGAGCTCGCGCACTTTGCTCATGGTGCCGCCGACGCCGCCGACGCCACCGCTTTTTTTCGCGGCCTTCTTCTCGTACTTGGACTTGCTGCTGCCGGCGTCGACCAAGCCGGGCCCGAGCGGTGGCTTGCCGGTCAGCGGCGGCTTGTCGTTGTAGTACATGACGTACTTGTCGTAGCCACCGTTGCTGACGCGTTGCTGCTGGTGGCTCTTCTTGTCGATGGGCATGCTGCGATCGGTGTGGCGTCGCTCCTGCTTGAGGAACTGCGCCGTGACGAAGCCGTCGTCCTCCTCGGACTCGGCGCCGTGGCGTCCGTCGGCCTCGTGCGACGAGTGAGTCGGCCGATAGTCGTTCTCGATGCCCGAGTCGGCCAGTCGGTCCTTGCGCTCGCTGTCGCTGAGCCGCGTCTCGGTGCGCACCTGATGATGATGATTGTGGTGCGAGGACCTGCCGAGGCCCCGATGATGATCTCGCGCGTTGTGACGCGGCGGTCGCTGAGGCGGCGGCACAGGGCCCTCGTCGAACGCGCCGTTGCTCCTCTCGTCCAGGTGGGCGTAGTCCAGGTGGTTGCGCGAGCGACGCAGCGGCTTCTTGGGCTCGTCGGGATCGGAGGTGACGCCTTTGCGATGATGATGATAGCCGCCGCGTACGACCGAGTCGCGCGTCGTCGTGTCCGAGTCGTAGCGGCTCGAGTTGTAGCCGTTGCTGTTGACGACACGATGATGCCTTGGCGGCGAGCTGTCGTAATCGTCGTGCAAGCCTCTTCCAGCCCGATGATGGTAGCGCTGCATCGTGCGCGTCTCCTTGCTGTAAAACTTGCTGGCGGCGCTCGACGAGTCGAGCTGGCTGTTGGTCGCCTGCGAGATGTCCGTGTCGTAATCGTCGAGGGGTCCCTCGCGCAGAGCGCCGAGTTTCGGTCTCCTGCCTCCGCCGACACCCGGGCGTCGAGTCAAATCGGCCGCGGCGGACGACGACGAGGCTAGATTCTCGTAGGAGCGCGTCACGTAGCGATGAGCAGCACCATCCTTGACTCGAGGACTCTCGGAGGACGAGGACAGCTCGTTGAGGCGCTGCGTCGACTTGCTGTAGCCACGCATGGCCTCGAAGTTCTTCTTGGCGCGCGGCTGGTACAGTTCGCTTCGGTGATGACGCGAGTGGCCCTCGTCTTTCTTGGTGCCATTGTCGATGGTAGCGGTAGTGGTCGAGCTCGGCTCGGCGCTGTAATTGCGCGTCTCGACGATGTACTTGTCGCCGTACTTGTCCGTCCTCGTCTCGAGCACGTAGCCCTGCTTGGGCTTGACGAGCGGCAGCTCGCTATGTCCATTGTTGTTCGTCACCTTGTTCGTGATCTTCTCGAAGCCGTAGACCTTGCCGTTCTCGTCGTGCATCTCCTTCTCGAAGATGTACTTCTCGCCGTTGCTGTTGGTGCGCGTCTCGCTGATGTAGGTGTCGAGGTAGCGCTTGGGCTGGGCCGCGGGCACCACGGGCGACGGCACGATCGGCTTGTCCACGATTATGGGCTCCTGCTCGAGCACCAGCTTCTTGCCGCTTGGGCTCAATAATTTATTCACGTTGCTGCTTCCGTTGTCCTTGCTGGAGAACATCTTGATGCGCGACTCGAGCAGGTCCCGACGAGCGCTCAGATCCGAGCTCTTGTTCAGGCTGGGGGGCCGCTCGTTGATGACGCGACTGCTGAGCTCGTCGACGCCGTTGACGCGTCGCCTGGCCGCGTCCGCCATGCCATCGGCGCGGCCCCGATCGAGCACCGTCGTCGTCGTCGTCGGGTCAGCGCCGCCGCCGCCGTCGCCGAAACGCGTCGTCGTGACGTTATTGGCGCTCGACGACTTGTAGCTGTTGATGTCGTTGTGGCGCTGCAGCTCCGAGTCCAGATAGCGATACTGTCCGCCGGTGCCGTTGTTACTGCTGCTACGATGGAAGGCCTCCTTGTCGGCGGGGCTGTTCTCGCGCGACGAGTCCTTGCGCTCGAGGCCGAGGCCCTCGTCGCTGTCGCTGTGGCTGCGCTGCGCCTGATTCAGCAGGGCCGACTTCTTCTTGTCCATCTGCACCTGGGCGTAGATGCAGTCGGCGGGCAGCAGAGTGGTGCTGGGCGACTGCGGACGGACCGACGTCGTCGCGATCTCGCTGGGCCGCGTGTACGAGAAGGGCCGATTGTTGTTGTGGGCGAAGCCCGGACTCGGCGCGACCATGGCTCGGGTCAGCTGGGGCGGCGGCGAGCGATCGTTCGACAGCCGATGGATCATCTTGTGTATGGTCGAGTCATCTCGTTGCGGCTGCTGCGGATGATGATCGTATCGACTGCTCCGATGCAACATGTCACCGTCGACCACGTCGATGTCTTCCTCCTGTCGTCGCTGATTGTCGCCGACGTAGAGACGATTCTCGCTCTCGACGTAGATCGGAATGGTCTTGACCCTCGGCGACGGCTCCACCGGTGCCGGTGGCGACACGGACGAGAAACGAAAGGATCGCTCGGCGGTGGCGGGATGCGGCGACGCCTCGATGATGGGCGTGAGAGGTGGTTGCTGCTGCTTTCTCAGCAGGTCGCTCGAGCTGCGCTGCAGTGGCGGGCCGCGCCGGCGCGGCTGCCCTATTCGCTGATACTGCGACTCCGGCTCGTCGTCGTCGTCCTCCTCTAGCTCGGGCAGGCTCCGGTCGGGACTGCTGTTGCTGCCTTGATATCGCGGTTGATAACGACCACTGGGCTGCTGGCTCCTAACGACCGATGCTGCTCGCTCGGTTGAGCTGGCATCGCTCACGCTACGCCCGAGCGCCTTCTTCTTCGGTTTCGAGTGGCCGAGATAGCTGCTGCTGCCGTCGGTGTCGCCGCCGCCGTCGTTGCTGCTACGCTCCTTGGACTTGCGACTACTGCCGCGACCGGGTAGGCTGGCGTACTTTCGCGGCGACTCGCGGTTGTTGACGCCGCGAGCCACGCAGTCGACGCTGTCGGCCTGCTCGAGGACCCGGGCTGCCTCCTCGGCGAGATCCTCGCGGCTGAGCGCGCGTGCGCTCTCCTTGCGCAGCGGGAAGGTTACGAAGGTGCCGACGCCATCGCCCGCGAGAGCCGTCGTCACTGAGGCGGGTGATGGACTGCGACCTAAACAAGCAAAGCAAACAGGAAAATGCAGAGTGTCAATTAGGTGGTTCGAATCGTTTAATGTTTTTGTATTATATTGGTTGTTTAGATTATTTCGGATTAGTAAAGCCCAATACTGTTAGAATACTACTCTATATACATGCATAATTCATTAAAATGTTTTATCGCTGTTCTTCAATGATTTCACGAAATAATTTTTTTGCCCATACATATACAGTCATCACTGGTTATAGCTTAGAATTCACGGTCAACTAATAAATAATAATATCGATCGAGAGACATATGATTATAAGCCCGAGAGCCGCAAGTTCGGCAATGATATGCTTCTCGCGCCCTCGGAGCAGCAGTGAACAACAATAATGCCAGGTGAGCGAGACAATTGCTTGCGCCAGGTTAAAGTCATACTTTCACCTCTCTCGGTCTCGCGAGAGCAAAGATTAAAATAGCAACGGTGGCGACAGCACCTCGTACAGAGAATACCACGCGACAGACGAAGAATACATTGGCGCGCGCTCGTTGACGGTGTACAATATCAGAATAGATCGAGGGGGGAGGGGGGAGGGTATTTTTATACGCGCGAGACAAGGCGGTATTGTTGCAAGTGTCGAGTGCAGGATATTTGATTGATAATTAATGCTCGTAAATTATGCGCGAGTTAGTCGCGCTGTCGACGCTCGCTGGCGGTCCCTAAAGGCTCTCTCGCCCCGTTACCGGTGCAGCTTTCGTATATAGTAGATAATCATTACGTGCGGACGCAGGTATTGTTGCGCGATGATTGGCTCGCTTCATTAGCAGCGACCTGTATAACGAACGGGCGAGATTTTTTTTGAGTATCTTACAGTAAGCCTGAGGTATTACATCTATAAAAATAACTCTCTTATGATTTTCTTAAAATTTGGAGAGAGGCTAGTTTTTAAGTAGTAAAAAAAGCGCTATCTAAATGTAAACAAAATCTACCGTATCCTTCGCAGAATAAATCTTCGGTAGAAAATTGATGTGCTGAAGCACAAATAAAAAGGTTCTCTAGCTTAAATAATTGAGAATACACTTAATTTTTGTCAAAAATTTATTAGTTTTTACGAAAGTTAAACCTTTTTTTCACCCAATAAACATGGGATAGGACTTATTATAAATTATTTCTCAAAACATGATGTTAAATTTTATATCTTGTGACGCCATTATGCGCCTTATTTCCGTGGATTTGGAGACTGTCCTTGAATGAAAATGCCTTTCCGCATGTGTTGCACGTATATTTGATACCAATGTGCGCCGTATCGATGTGTCTTTTGAGACTACCTTTCTGAGTAAATGACTTTCCACACTTATCACATGCATATTTGACACCACTGTGCGACGTATCGATGTGGACTCGGAGATTTTGTCTTTTTACAAATGTCTTTCCGCAAATATCACATGCATATTTAACATCATTGTGCACCGAATCTATGTGCATTTTGAGATACCTTTTTTGATTAAATGTCTTTTCGCAAATATCACATGCATGTTTAACACCATTATGCATTGTGTCGATATGTTTTCTGAGGTAATTCTTTTCTGAGTATTTCTTTCCACAAATATCGCATGTATTTTTGACTCCATTGTGCATCGAATCGATGTGGGTTTGGAGATACCAATTTGTTGAGAATGTCTTTCCGCAAATATCACATGCATGTTTAACACCATTGTGCACCGTATCGATATGGGTTTTGAGATTACCTTTCTGAGTAAATGACTTGCCGCATTTATCACATGAATGAGTGACCCCATTGTGCACAGAATCGATGTGGATTCGGAGATTTGGTTTTTTAGCGAATGCCTTTCCACATACATCACATGTGTAATTAACACCATTATGAATCGAATCTATGTGGATTTTGAGATTATATCTTAGTGTAAACGTCTTTCCGCAAATATCGCATGCATGTTTACCACCATTATGCCCTGCGTCGATATGGACATTGAGATGGCCTTTTTGTGTGAATTTTTTTCCATATATTTCACACGCTTCGATTCTACCACTGGACACCATATGGATGTTTGTTTTGAGGTTATGTTGATCGTCCAACTTTTTTGTAATTCTTCTTTCTTTTTTTTGTTCGACCAATTCACAATCGAAGTTCAAATTCAATTTTTCTGCAACGTCGTCAAAAAATTCCTCTTTTACTTCCTCTTTACGTTCCATTTTAATTCTGTTGAGAGTTATATCATAACAGCGATTTTTTACATTCTGAAAGTGATTTTCAGAATAATCATCAACTTTTTGAACGACTAATAAATCCATGCGAGGCTTCAGATTTTCACATTCAAAAACTATTTCCGTGTCATCATTGATTTTAGTTACATGATTTTTGATACATTTTTGAAGTGCGTGAGTCTGTTAAAAGGTGAAATCCACGTGAGATTTTTCATAAAACAATGAAGAGTTACCTAAAATTATCAACACTTACAGAATTTTCTTGCGGAAATGGCGAGAGTTGGAAGTTTTTCAAATCGGGTTTCTCGTCAATCATCTCGCTATCGTTTTCAATAAACGACGGATCACGAGGTTCCTCTTTTACTCTAAAATAACCTCGTTATTATCAAGTGTTTTGATGTAGTAGTATTTTTATAATTTCATTGTTATAAATTTAAAAATTACCTCACTGTAAAATTACCAGTGGATTCCATATTTTTTGCTTGAAATTACGTCAACAATTAACTCATGGGCGATAATCTCAGATATCAAACTAAACGCAAAAAGACAAGAGGACTGTCGTGTTGTGCTCGCTATATTTTGCAAAACTGTGTCAAAATACGAAGGTTATGTGCGACTGGCTCAGCACAGTGCACATCTCTTCCTTGTATATGTACACCATAGCTCGACAAAGCTCCACATGCCCGGCGATGCGAGGAGAGGTCATGCGTGCGACGCGCAACGTAAACAACAGAGAACGAGCACGACGCAGCTCTGTGCTCTTCGACCGATTGCAGACTCAAATTTTCATGCAATGAAATTTTTAAGTTTCGATGTAAACGAAGCAAAATTTAATTACTGTAATTATATCATGAAAGAAATGATATGATTGCATCGCGTGCGTAATGAATATACATGAGTATCTACATGATTCTATTGTGGGAAAAAGCCAGTTTTATTCAAAAAATTGAAATATGCCTCAACAAGACAGAAAAAAATCAGAGATTGTTGTTGCACCCTTTAACGCCCGCATGTTAACTTCTGAGTTCTCCTATTTCGCCTACGAACCACGCCCGTCTCTTGTGAACGGTACGGTCAAATTTTCATAAAATTTGAAAACCCTCTCTTTACCAATTCAAACTACCTTTCCTCTGAATTTTAAGAAAATCGCACGAATGACATTTTTACCGATGTATCGCAACGTCGAGCAAGTGACCGCGAAACGGTAAGCGTAGTAGTGCGTTTGCGTATGCGCTCAAAAATAATCATAAGTTTCGTACTTGTAAAATCGGTATACAACTCGAAACACGAGCCATTTTAATCGTACAGCTACTTGCCAGCCTCGCGATATAACTCCGAAACGATATCGCGCGGGTGTAAACAGGTCGCGAAATCGCTGCCGGCTGCCGGTCGTGCGCCGCAGCAGCAGCAGCAGCCGTAGCCGTAAAGCAGAATCGGAAACGCAACAAAGAAGATAATGCGTGTGTTGGCCAGCGTATAAGTGTCTGACCGATTAAACTCCATACATATATACGTTTCAGCGTTTATACACAAATACACAATGGGCAGCCGTCCGCACGTACGTCTACGTCTGGCACACGCAGACGCATAAATGTGTTGCGCGCATATGTACAATCGGTCAGATATCCGATAGATTCGGAAGGATCGCGTGTTCGTATATACGTACACGCGTGTTACATATGGAATTATGAGGCCTCGTCCAAATCGCGGCACCGCAGCATATACACGTATATAGCGCGAAAGTTAACTCTGACCTCGATTAAAGAGCGCGTTTTCAATGGCAGAGATCTGCCGCGCGTGGGTGCAGCCGGGGTGGGTGCACGTGTCCGCGCGTGAAACGGTATATACAACAGCAGATCGAGGCGTTCATTTTTTGGTCGCTGTCCTTTTTCTTGTACATATGCGCGATAAATCGATGCGCGAGAATAGCCCTGTACGAGTAATCTTTCGTCCGCGCGCAGCTGCGAACGATACGTATATATGGCCGATTCTCTGTGAAATCGAATGGCCAAAAAATTTTTTTTTGCTGCAAATATGAAAAACTTGCTGTTTCCGATGTCAGAAATGTCCCCAAATTTTATTAGAATTTTTGGGACCATCTATCACTCTTTTTCAGGGGCCCGAAGTTGGCCATTTTAGGGTTTTTTTGAAATTCATGAAAAATCACAAATATCAAAATAATTCCTGGAATAAAGTAGAATGATTCAAAAGTAAAAGTGCCCAGCAACTTTTTTGTTGGAAATTGTCCAAATTTTCAGAAAAAAAATATGCCAAAGTGATTGGAACAATCTAGGTAAATGTAAAGCAAAAAAACTGCAAAAAAAACATAAAACAAGAAATCTACTCGAGTTCGAACCGGACTTTCATTTCCTAAACTATGTAAAAAGCTTCCCAAAGATGTCAACTAATGCCTGATAAAGTTTTGTAATGGGTCTTAAAGTTTAACGCAATGTAGACAACAATGTGTGGCGAAAAACATGCAAAAAAGGTCAAAAATAGGCCCAAAATGCCTAAAATCACCAAAAACAGCCATTTTCAGGCCTTTTTTGCATGTTTTTCGCCACACATTGTTGTCTACATTGCGTTAAACTTTAAGACCCATTACAAAACTTTATCAGGCATTAGTTGACATCTTTGGGAAGCTTTTTACATAGTTTAGGAAATGAAAGTCCGGTTCGAACTCGAGTAGATTTCTTGTTTTGTGTTTTTTTTTTATGTTTTCCCACTATGCTCTCTTTGGGTGGCTCCAATCACTTTGGCATATTTTTTTTCTGAAAATTTGGACAATTTCCAACAAAAAAGTTGCTGGGCACTTTTACTTTTGAATCATTCTACTTTAATCCAGGAATTATTTTAATATTTGTGATTTTTCATGAATTTCAAAAAAACCCTAAAATGGCCAACTTCGGGCCCCTGAAAAAGAGTGATAGATGGTCCCAAAAATTCTAATAAAATTTGGGGACATTTCTGACATCGGAAACAGCAAGTTTTTCATATTTGCAGCAAAAAAAAATTTTTTGGCCATTCGATTTCACAGAGAATCGGCCATATACACGCGCGAGTCGCTTAGAAACGCGACGGCGAAATCCGGTTTCTCTACGCGCCGATTGCAGCTTCTTTTATGTTCTTCTTGTACCAAATGGAAAACGATATTCTGATTTTTCGTACGGTCGAGATCTACCTCGAAAGTTAGCTCGTAACTTCCTCGATTCGGAAAATATATATTCGATATTACGTTCTATCACCGATGAAGAACTCAAAATGGTGAATGAATTCGTCGAGAAAAGTTTTCACGCCGAGAGATTAATGCGAAAATAGCAATGCAGTAAAATCCGTACAAATACTCTCGCACCGTAGTATATATACCAAAGAATACTTTCAAAGTAGAAGTGAATAATAAATAGGAAAAAATAAACGCACTGCGCGCGCGCGCGCGTCGAAAGTGACAATCACCGCCGCTCGAGGTTGAGCGCGATTTTTCATAACTATATTGTCGTTTAATCCTCATTTTCTCATAATGACTTCGGAGTGCCGAGGCATCATTACCGCGCCACGAGCAGTGCCGCGCGGCAACGCACAAAGGGAAATTTCCTGAAAATAATTCGCTTTATAGGCGTATGTGTGCCTATACATACGTATATATGCCTCGTTCTGCACTCGCGCGCTCCCGAGGAAAGTTATGCGCCGAATAAATTAGACATTCTTCGCGGAAAGAAAAAAGTATTTTAATTGTTGAGCTCTTTTATTCCGCGCTCTTTTTACTTTCTTTGGGAAGGAACAGATCCGCTTCTTGGTTATCGATCGATTTCTTACAAAAACAGCAAATGTAAGGCTAGATCATTTTCAAAGTATAATAACGATCATCGAGACCTGACTGTTCATCGTAGCGAGTTAATCTAATATTTTCATATCTGATCCATCAAAGTACGTCGTACGTAATGTATCAATTTAATATTCATGCTTTTACTTATACAATTATTTAGACTTTACCACTTGAATTTTTTGAAAGTGATTGAAAGTGTATTTATTGGCGTTCATTTTATACATTGCCACGAGTTTTACCACTTGAAGATTTACGGATAAGGTACGTCGCCATCTAGTGGCGAGTCTTAAAGTGGTGCACATGTCTGGAAACTGGTCTAAATTGTTTGAAACAATTAAATTGTCGCTTTTAGATCATCTTACTTTGACATTCGTTGAATATTTGTGTAGTAAAATTTTATCCGAAAAATTAGCAAAATCAAATAAATAAATAAATAAATGCTGATGTATTTTAAATTTTTCAAATGATATCAGTCGATCGCTATGGCGACATCGATAATGAGATCTAAATACTAGTACAAAGATTTTTTTCCTATCAATTTATGCAACGAATCCCAAGCTGCATATGTTTGCAAAACATTTCGTCCAATTGATCAATCATTCACTTATTTCGAGCGATCAAACCTAAAGAGATCGTTTTCGAAAATAATCGCAAAACGTTGCGATTAAGCTCCGCACCGCTATTGAAAGGAAACAAGGCTGTGTGCGTGTGTGTATCCGCGTACAGCGAATTAATAAAAAGCAAATTATCGGATGCACTGCACTCATGCGCACTGCAGAGAGTCATTTTTAAGCGAACTCTCGTGAATTTATTTCTCGGAATCACTTTCGAACTTTCACGTCGAAAAAGCAGCAGCAGCAAGAGCTCGAGGCAGCTCGCGAGCATGAGGCACAGGTATAATTTATGACCTGGCGAACTGTTTGCTGGTTTTTCAGAAATTCCGCACCAGCGGCTCTGGCAAAGTCGCTCGAATCGGCGTGAATCGGTTCTCGAACGTACACACACACACACACACACACACACTTATAAGCGGGGGATAATAATCAATAAACGCACGTGCGCGCGGCGTCTGAAATTTCAGTCGATAAAAGTATACCTATACATCCCTGTACTCGGGCGACGCAGTTAATATTACGCCTCTCTCGTATTGGGTTGAATTTTTGATCGATCGCGGTATGTGTATCAGGGCGGATAATAATTGATCGGGAAAAATTCGAGGTGCACACACAAACGAGTCGATTAATAATTATATCTGGAAACGAGCGGCTATATACGCGCGCCACACGTCGTTCACGTAACGCATACACACATACTTTGATACACAGCTCTCTTTCTCTCGCGCGTGCACTGCAAGTGCAATGCCTATACATATACAATATATATACGGCGTTCGCACATTACTCAAAGCCCGCTCGCGGATAATTCATCCGGGGGGCCGATCGTTATCCGTCATTCGCGCCGACCGATCTCTACTCTCTCGCGCGCGCGCGCGCCTGAGCCCTTTCCAATATAAACCTTATATACGCTCCATGCCAATCGCGCACGGGGTTCGCGATCCTGCTGCCGCTGAGGCGCGCGCGCGATCCTTCATGCCAATCAGAGAAGACTCTCGTGGCAAGTCGATGCTCGGCGCGCGCGAGATCTGCAGCGGCTGCACGGAGAATGCCCCGTTAGCCAATTTTTTGGCGCAATTAATTGACTCGTGGAAACGAACATTTCGCGTAATTGTGATTTT